GGGGTGGGGGCAGAGCCCGGCCGCGCCTCTGGGAGCTTGCCCTCCCTGGGGCCCCGGGGTGCAGCAGGCCTGCGTGGGGCCTGCCCTTCGGGGACCGGGCCGCGAGCGCTGCGCACTGTCTGTACCCGCTGCACCCAGCAAACCAGTGCCGGGCGGCGGGCCCGTCACACGCTGTCATTCAGTCACTCCGTTAGATCATCTACGTATTCGTGGCCACTTTCTACCTATGTGACCTTGTGCATGCCACTTGACCTCGCTGAACTTCAGTTGCCTTATTTGTAAAGCTGGAATTCTATCTCCCTCACAGCGGTGGTGTCTAAAGTTTAGAAGAGGTTGTATTGAAATATCTGGCACACAGTAGATGTCGTCTCTCCCTTGGCCTGTACTAGTTGCATTGTTACTGTTGTTAGGTGCCTCAAGTGAATTCCCGACTCCTAAGGACCCCATGTGACTGAGTAGAACTGCCCTGTAGGGTTTTCTAGGCTGTAATCTTTACCAGAGCAGATTGCCAGCTTTTTTTCCCACAAAGCCCCTGGCTAGGTTCCAATCACCAACCTTTTGGTTAGCAGCTATCATGGACTGAATTGTGTCCCCCCAAAATATGTATCAACTTGGTTAGGCCATGATTCCCAGTATTGTGTGGTTGTCCTCCATTTTGTGATTTTCCTATGTGTTATAAATCATAATCTCTGCCTGTGGTTAAAGAGGATTAGGGTGGGATGTAACACCCTTGCTCAGGTCACATCCTTGATCCAATGTAAAGGGAATTTCCCTGGGGTGTGGCCTGCACCACCTTTTATCTTACAAGAGATGAAAGGGAAGCAAGCAGAGTTGGGGATCTCATACCACCAAGAAAGCAGTGCCGGGAGCAGAGTGCATCCTTTGGACCTGGGGTTCCTGTTCGGAGAAGCTCCTAGTCCGGGGGAAGATTGATGACAAGGACTTTCTTCCAGAGCCTACAGAGAAAGCCTTCTCCTGGAGCTGGCACCCTGAATTTGGACTTGCAGCCTACTAGACTATGAGAAAATAAATTTTTCTTTGTTAAATCCATCCACTTTTGGTATTTCTGTTATAGCAGCATTAGATGACTAAGGCAGCAGCCGAGGGCTTAACTGTTATGCAGAACTCCTTGCTTGCATTAGGGGAAGCAAGAAGGGCCAGTTCTGTCACTTTATTGGGTGTAGCCAGTCAGGGCAAATCCCAGACAAGTAACTCAAGCCCTCTTAGGGCTCCAAAGCTGTCTGAGGAAGGTATGATCTCCCCATCCCTGGAGTGGGCCAGGAAATGAGGATGCTGGGAGGTTTGGTAAGTGACCTCATTGAGTGTCATGGATTGAACTGCATTCCCCCAAAATATGTCAACTTGACTAGGCCATGATTCTCAGTATTGTGTGGCTGTCCTCCATTTTGTGATCTGATGTAATTGTTCTCATTTTGGTATGTATTGTAAATCCTAACCTCTACTTGTTAATGAGGCAGGATCAGTGTGGGGTATATCTTGAGTCACAGCCTTACAAGAGGGTGGGACTCAAGTCACACTCTTATTCAAGTCACGCCCTTACCTGAGATAAAAGGAGAGAGAAGCAAGCAGAGAAGGGAAGGACCTCAATACCACCAAGAAAGAAGAGCTGGGAGTGAAGCGTGTCCTTTGGACCTGGGATCCCTGCGCTGAGAACCTCCTAGACCCACGAGAAGACTGATGCCAAGCCATGTGGAGATCTCCAAGGAATGCCAGGCCCACAGATGTTGAAAGGAGACAAGGATTTTCCCCCAGAGCCGACAGAGAGAGAAAGCCTTCCCCTAGAGCCAGCACCCTGAATTAGGACTTCTAGCTCCCTAAACTGTAAGAAAGCTGATTCTGTTTATTAAAGCCATCCACTTGTGGTATTTCTGTTACAGCAGCACTGGGCAACTAAGACAGGATTTGGTACTGAAAGAGTGGGATGCTGCTTTAGCAGGTACCTAAAATGTGGAAGCAGTTTTGGGATTGGGTAGCAGGTAGAGGCTGGAAGAGTTTTAAGGTGCCTAATAGTAAAAGGCTAGATTGCTTGAAGAGACTATTGGTAGAATTATGGACGCCAAAGGCAATCCTGGTGAGGCTCAGAAGGAAGTGAGGAGAGTTATAGAGAAAGTCTGTAGTGTCTTAGAGAATACATATGGCACCAGCAACAGAATGTTGCTAGAAATGTGGACGTTAAATGTGCTTCTGGTGAGGCTTTAAAAGAAAATGATGAACATGTGATTGGACAATGAAGGAAGGGTGATGCTTTTTATGTAGTGGCAAAAACTTGTCTGAATTATGTTTAAATGTTTAGTGGAAAGTAGAACTTGTACGTGATGAACTTGGATATTTGGCTGATGAGATTTCTAAGCAAGATCTTAAAGAGGCTGCATGGTTTCTCTTTGATGCTTATGGTAAAATGCAAGAGGAAAGAGGTGGACTTAAAAATGAACTGTGCAAAATGAAAATAGAACTTAAAGATTTGGAAAACTCTGTTGTACAGACTAAAGACACGTGTCCTAAAATGTTAACGAAGGATATGACTGTATAATCTTTTGTTAAAGAAATCAAGCCTGTGACTGATGGATCTAAGCAACTACCACAGCAGAAAACCCATCAGCTCAGACCGAAGGGGACAGAGAAAGAACAAAAGGAAAGGACGCTGTTTGCCTCTTGGAATTCTACAGGCAGGAAACAGGCCAAAGGAGCTACATCTGTTGTCCTTTAAGAAAAGAAAAGGACCATACTGGGATCAGCTTGGAGATCAGCAGAACTGTTGGAAGGAGCATGGGAAGCAGGACTTTCTTGCTTTCAACGGGTGGGGTCACGGTCTCCTGGATCTCAAAGGGTGGGCCACAGTCTCCTAGGTTCCAGAGTCGGATCTTTGAGAACTTGGTTCTGGAGTGTGGGGCTGCCACTAAGGTGTGCCAGGGGGATGGAGCCACAGCCCAAACCTGAGGGGGTGGGGCTGCCATGCCCGAGGGGCAGAAGAACAGGGCCTACCAGGGCCGAGTGGGTGGGGTTGCCAGACCCCACTCAGATGCACTAGGAGAATGGCGCTGCTCAAAGCTGAGGGAGCAGAATTGCCATCCTAGTGGGCCTGGAAGGCAGAGCTGAAGCCCAGGGCTGAGGGGCCTCCACCCAGAATATACACAGCATGGCTGACACCCAGAGTCTGGAGGGCAGGGCCATTGCCTAGAGGGTCCCAAAGAATAGAGGATTATTGTCAAGCCTGGAGAGCTAATATAAATTGTTCTACTGGGTTTTGGACTTGGTGCCTGTTATCCCTTCTTTCCTTCCAGTTTCTTGCATTTGTAATGGAAATGTCTACCTTGTGCCTGTTCCACCATTGTACTTTGGAAACAGATAACTTGCATTCTATATTTCACAGAATCACAGATGAAGAGGAGTTTTGCCCCAGGATGGAATATTCCTAAAGTCTCACCCAAATTTGACTTAGATGATTCAGAAGATGAAATTTTGGACTTGGAGCTGATTTAAGACTTTTGGGATGATGTGGTGAATGTGTTTTGCATGTGGCAAGAACATGAATTGAATTGTGTCCCCCCAAAATATGTGTCAACTTGGCTAGGCCATGATTCTAAGTATTGTGTGGTTGTCCTCCATTTTGTGATCTGATGTAACTGTCCTCCATTTTGGAATGTATTGTAAATCCTAACCTCTACTCGTTAATGAGGCAGGATCAGTGTAGGGTGTATCTTGAGTCACAGTCTTACAAGAGGGTATGACTTAAGTCACACCCTTACTCAAGTCATGCCTGTGCTTGAGATAAAAGGAGACAGAAGCTAGCAGAGGGGGAGGGACCTCACTACCACCAAGAAAGAAGAGCCAGGAGTAGAGTGTATCCTTTGGACCTGGGGTCCCTGCGCTGAGAACCTCCTAGACCCAGGGGAAGATTGATGCCAAGACACATGGAGATCTCCATGAACGCCAGGCCCATAGATGTTGAAAGGTGACAAGGATTTTCCCCCAGAGCTGACAGGTAGAGAAAGCCTTCCCCTAGAGCCGGCACCCTGAATTCAGACTTTTAACCTCCTAAACTATGAGAAAATAAATTTGTTTGTTAAAGCCATCCACTTGTGGTATTTCTGTTATAGCAGCACTGAATAACTAACACAGTGGGTATCTCAACCTTTATGGCAAGTCTCTCTCAATAAGACAGGCCTGACCAGGTGCAGCCTGGGAGACAGCTGGGAGTGGGAACATTCCCAGCCAGTAATGGATGTGTTGCAGGGAGAGAGGGGCTGGAGAGGTGGAGGGGCTGCCTCCATTTGCCCTGACCACCTGATTTTGGATGAGAGTCTCCTCAGAGCTGCTACCTTCTCTGAAGAAACCTGGTCCCTTACAGTCCCCAGACTGTCCAAGAGCTGGGGACAGATATGTGCAGTGGGAGTGGGGGCAGGTGGACATGCCAAGGTCAGAGCAAGTTCATGGGGCAAAACCACCCAAGCCAGCTAAGTGTACCTATCTGCTCAGATCCCAAAGGTCAGGGCTTCCTGGATCAGAGGGCAGAGCAGGCCTGAGGCCACAGATTCCAAGAGCCAGGAAGCAGCTGAAGCAGCTAGAGCTGAGGGGGAGGGGCCGGAGACCAGACCAGTTGCCCTGGAGTTGATTTTGACTCCTGGCGACCCCACGTGTTGCAGAGTAGAACTCTGCTCCATAGGGTTATCATGGCTGTGACCTTTCAGAAGCAAATTGCCAGGCCTTTCTTCCAAGGTGCCTCTGGGTGGGTTCAAACTGCTAACCATTTGGTTTGTAGTTGAGTGCTTAATGGAGGTCACCTGGGGTAAAGGCAGCTTGCATGGGGGAAGATGCTCCCTGGTTTAG